CTTTCTCTGGGTTTATTAGTATATTAGAATACTAGTGACTAATTATTCTCTTTTCTTATTTGTTTCATGTTTTAATGGACTTTTGGAGTACAGACTCAGATGTTAAGTAGGAATTGGGATGATTGTTAATGTTAAGAACTGTTAAAAGAAAGTTTCACTTCTTTTTAGCTCTTTTCAGACTTAAAAAAAAACTTGTAATGTAATTACTCATAAATAGTGTTTTTTTTCTCCATTGTTTTGTTGTCCTTACACTGTAACAAGTACAGAGGGAAATTAACTCTTTACCTTTTAACCCATGGGCTGCCATTGTGCGACACCTTGGTAGCAGTGTGGGGTTAAAGGTCTTTGCTCAGGGACCCAGAGTGGCAGTCTGTGGCAGTGAGGCTTGAACTCAGAACCTTCCAAGTGCAACGCCCTAACCACTAGCCACCACTCCCCAAAGCAGTGAAGGGTCTTGCCTAAAGACCCACACTGGCAGTTCATTCCCCCGAGCTGGGATACAAACCCAAGCCTCTTGTTTGCAGGATGGGTGACTTACCACTTGAGCTAGCTAGCCACTAGTTGTTTGTATACTCTAAATTTGCAATTGATTGTCTGAAATAAAGTTATTCATTCTTTAATGATTAATTCATTCAAAATCATGCAATGCACATAATGTTAAACCTTACAGTAGATCCTAAGCCTATTTTTTACTATGGACCCACACTCCCCATTCCATTGTTTGGACATGCAAACAAATAATTCCACATAAAACTGAAAGATAATTTTCTAATTTAGTAAAATGGGATCCTTGTATTGTCGGTGTAGAGGTTGACATAAGGTTTTACTTGGTATTATTGGGGTTTCTGAACCAAAGTAGTATAACAATTTGACTGTCTTGGATAACAAGCTCTAACTGAAAGACAATTGGGCTAAAAGCTCAACTTCAAAAGGACTGAATTAAATTGCATAAAAATAAAGAATGCTCCCTGAAATGGCTCTAGTGGGTGGACCTTCAAAGTAACAATATTATTTGAAAATAGGAAAATCAGCTTCAAAGCAAAATAATAGTTTGAAAATATAAGATCTTATTGTTTAATAAAGCAGAAAAAAGCCCCTGGAACTGCAAACATGAATAAAAAGTTGCCCAATGATTGTGAATCTCTGATGTTCTAATAATGCTCAGAGCAGTTTCTTGCAGGCTTTAGAATATTTGCATAGTTTGACCCTAAAAACAGATCTTCTGGATAAAAAAACTACGTCAGCGAAGCCATTCATCTCTGTTATAAGAAAATGTATTGTAAACATGTTATAGTACATTGCATACGTTTTTCCTGAAAAAAAGTAATTATAAAAAAAACACAATTTTTTTTTTATCAGCTAACTTTGAAATGCAGTACTTTTATTTGCTCTGCTAATAAATATATCAGTACTTTTTAAGTGAGACATATTATTTTTTCATTATATTTTAATCAATATGATGCTTGAATAACCCAAGATGCCCTACAATGAAACAAGGGTTGTCCAGAATTTATAAGAAAACAAGAGAAAGTTTTCTAAACTATTTATTTTGCTTTGGATGTGGGAATCGTATGGATTCTAAATGTGAAAAGTCAGAATTTGATGGAACAGATCTATTTCGGAGTATATAACCTGTCAAGATGACTGAATAAAATGATTTAATTCCTTTCTTTGAAAGGAAAGAAGGAACTTTGTCTTCTTGGGTCAAAGACACTATTAAATTGATGGGTATAGTGTAAGGAATCAAATAAAGTATAACTTTCAGGTTTTATGAAAAACATTCATGACTGTTTTTTCGGCTTTATTTTCACTTTGAAATGAGTTGAGTTTTTCCTATGGGCAGAAACCTCTACAATCAGAAACTTAAATTTGAAATGCACATCTGTAGATGCAATATTCAATAGTTTGAAAGTGAAGTTCACCAAATTGAAACAGAATTTATTGATGTGAAGCTAAATAAAAAAATTTAATTAATATTTGAAACTGAACCATGCATTTAATCTATGACAAGCACAAGAAGTGTGTGGTAAAGAAATGAGAGGCTAACGGTTACAGTTGGGCTACTTGTTGCTGTCAATACACTTGATTAGTATAGTGTGCAACAGGTTTTGCATTTTCAGCATTCCGCTTATGTCTTGAAACCATGGGAGCTCTGCCAGTGTCCCACAAAAGCAGCCATTTATATGTTACAGGATAGGAAAACCCCCATACGCATGTATATACAATGACACTTATTTACCTGATGCTTCCTTTTTGTGTAATACATTTAATGCAAACTGGAAAAAATTGCTGCTATTCATTTAACATAATAGGAATCTCTGTTCAATTACTCTGGTCTATCTCAGGGTCCACCCACAAAATGGGAATTTTAGATACATAAAGGTTTTATTATTTTTACTTTACTTTACTTTCAAACTACTACAATTACTTCTGAATTTTGCATATAAATATTCGCTATAGGCAACTCAAATATGGTTTTTGAAATTTTAATTCCATTTCCAATGCCACAAGTTTTTGCCTGTATTTTTTCTCTTTTTTTGCAGATCCTAAAGTTTTTAAAACATTTGTTTTGTCTGACTTATTCTGAAGAGTTTGGTTTTATAACTTTACAGAAAGGGGAACATTGTTAGCAGACCAGTCAAATGACTTGTTCTTTTAGAATAATTTGTAGCTTTGTTTTATTTTTATATATAATTTTTTAAAGAACCTCTCTTGACTGACTTGTATATTGAATGTTAGAAACACTCAATATACAATATACAATAAATATACAATAGCCAATAAAGTATTTTACAATATTATACAACTTCACTACAATTAGCATCATGACAAAGACAAAATACTCCCTCAGCCTTGTGCACATAAGACTATGCAATTTCCTCAAAACATAAAAATACTTGAGTTGAAGAGAGGGCAACATGTTTGAAAGCATAGTGTTCTATTTAATCATAATTAAGTCCTAATTAGTCCAAAACCAAAAATTAGTAGGCAAGCTAGGACCCATTTGGAATAAAATTATAGTTAAGAATCCTTCCTCTGTAGCAAAAATAGAAACATTTGTGGTGTTAATGTACTGGAGGAAAAAACATATGTGGTCCATACAAATGCATTCATCAAGAGTCTTTTTCACTTTCTGTTTTTTTGCTAATTTTTCTATCATGCTGATGAACTTCAATCAGGGTAGGTTGCCAGAGGCTCTTATTAGTTTCTGGTCAGCTTCTGTAAGCTTCAGGCAAAGCTGCTAATTTGACTGAAGAGGCAAACAAGGCGATTTTGTAGACTTGCTGGCCATTTTTCAGCACTTATTCAGAAGAGGCTTTCACATTCGATCCTGAGCTACTCCATTTCTATCGATTGTGACATAAATATTTATCTAAGAATATCTGTTTTTGAGTATTGATTATTCTGATATGGAGTATTTTCACGTGGGGATGGAATGACCTATAAAAGTCCTAAGGGAATACAGTCTTTACAGCCTACTATTTGGACCAGTACTTTTATTACTTTTTTATACTTGACTGTACTTCCTCATCTTTAACACGGTGTGTTTGTATTTATCTTTAATTTTGTTTTTTGGCATTAAGGATAAAAATGGTGTATCGGTAAAGATTCTGTCACATTAAACTCATACGTACCAAAAAACAACTTCTTTCACCCTTTTCTTCACAGTGTTTCAGTTTAAAAACACTTCCAATTACTTAATCAAATGACAGCAAAGAAGTACATGGATTTTTAATTTAAATTTGAATGTTCATTTTTTATTTTAAAACTTGGCTTGAGGAGAACATGAATTGATTTGACCTCAGTTAAATCCTTTCCCTGAATCTGGGTGTGTCATAGCTTTGAACCGCATAGTTCTTAATTAACTCAAGTGTTTGTGGGTGCGGTGTGTTGAGGGTGTGTGTATCTAAGCAATGATAGATCATCAGCAGTAAGGAATAGTTACATAACCCTCAACCTTAACCTGTCCGGAAACTTTCGTAATGGCAAGAACATCTATTGTATTGCAGTCAGCATTAATTGCAAGTTGAAATTTTGTGTTAGTCTCAGTAAAACTAATAATTAAATATTTTTTTTGTTCTTGCGTTTGCAGGTTTCAACAGGGATGCCCGCTAAGCCTGCAGTTTTCACCTTTGTGCCTCTGGTGCACAAGCTTCCAGTTGAAAGCATTCTTGCCAAGGATGAGAGGTCTGAAACCCTAAAAGGAAAATCAGATAAGGTACAGAAGCTGCAGCAGTGCAGACCTAAAGGGTAACAAAGTAAGACTTTAGAAGACTTGTTTTAGAACCTGTTATTCAACTGTTCAGGTTCAAAAGAGTGATCAGCAAAATTTTTAAAATTTAAGTTGTTGTTTTTTGCACATACATCACTACAGAGCTCAACTTAGATTGAAAGAAATACAGAGAAACAGTGCTGCGGTTTGCTACGCTCGTTTTGCTGTGGGCAGATCCAGATGGCGGTGATCCAAGTCCTCGCTGCCAAAGTATGAAGGTGATCAAAATAATTATTAACATGCTGCTTTTCAGCAAGCAGATTACAAAAAAAAAAAAAAAAAAAAAAAAACACAAAACATGCTGGGCTGATATTTTTCTGAAAATAGAAAAATAATGCTCCAACCCAAAAAGGTTCATGAGGCAGAAAATCTATTTCTGCAACTGTCACCTGTGTGAAAAGATTTTCCTCTGAAGTGATTAATCATGTAAGGAGCTTCAGGATTAAATTTCTTTGCTAAGGGGGAGTAATCAATCTCACTTTCCTATAGCGTTGTAGAAAGGCACCTCCGTTTATACCTCATCTTTAGGGAAAAATGGGAAGAATAAATTTACCTACTGCAGAATCTTTTGATATGCCAATTGTGTCACACCCATTAAATAAAAAGAGTTGTAGGAATATACTTACACATTTTATTGCTAAAAGCATTAACTCATTCCTCCATATCATCATGCCCAGATGTTCCTTTCAGTTGCATGACTACAGTTGTAAACACTCAGTATCTAGGTGCACTGACTTCTTCCACAGTTTGTGAAAGAATGCATTCCTTTTAGAACCCCAATGAATTTTTAGGCTTTTGCTTTGATAATGTGCAACCTATCAACAGCTAAATAGATATAATACAAATTTCCAGCAACTGGAGACAGCAAGAATTGTCTTATTAAATGGTTTGCTACATAAGATCACAGAAACGTGTCAGGGGATGCTGGGTGCATAATGCTCAGAGAGCTCAAGAATGTTCTCAGAGTCAGTAACTACAAACCTGCAAACTTCATTTGTGCTTTAAATCAGCTCTAGAACTATACCAAAAAAGCTTTATGAACTGGGTTCCCATGGCTGAGCAGCTACACTCCAGTCTGAGATAATCAGCACTTATGTATGTCTAAAAATGAATATAAAGCACCTGGTTTGGCACCATGCTTACATGATTTTACTTTTGTAAGAGTAAAGTTTGGTGCAGCTGGGTTTACACTGTGGGGTTTTTTTTATAGGGGGGATTAAGCATCTTAAATTTAGTAAAAATATCTTCAGTATGCTTCAGCTACCCTAGACATTTAAGATAATTTTACTCTCTTGTTGCAGCATGACCCCAAACCATTGCAGAAATCATGGATGAGTGAGCTTGAAGCAGAACAATCTGAGTGACCTCCTGAGAGTCCTCACACCAACTAGACAAAAAGCATCATAATGAATTGGAGCCCTGAGTGCAAGCCAGGGGAAGCTAATTGAGGATCAGTAGCCTCTTTTACAAAGCATTTGCATAATATTAGCAAAATAAGCTTATTGTTAGAGTTTTGGCACTTAAAATATGATCCGGATTTTTTTCTGTTTGCCATTACATTTTCAAAACGATAATGGTTTAAGAGTTCAGTGCATTAAACTTTGTACCAATTTTGTTGTTGGCTGGTTAAGTACTTTTATACATGTCATCTTCATTCTCTTGTAACAGATATTTCTCTGTATTTTTCATGTTTTTGGACGTTGTTTTGTTATTCACCCATCTTAGACGTCAGCATTATATTCCTCCCTCAGTCTGCTAGCCAGCTATCCCCATTCAAGTCTGCTGAGTCAAGGTTGACAAAAGGACAGAGTTACTTTTGTCAACCTTGACCTTTTCAAAAATAAAATACATAGCTCAATCCCTTCTTGAAGTTTTTTGTAAAAACGGCCACTGTTTGACCTCAAACGTGAACTTTCGGAGTAAAGGCTAAAACCTTTCCAGAAACATACTTCCAAACCTTGGTTAACCTCCACCAAAAGTATTGAAGCATCATATTGAGAATAAGTACATTTTTGTGCGAAAATTACATCTCAGTTGCATCATCCACCAATCAAATGTTGAGATATTCCATTTTAAATTGAGAAAATTTTAACCATATTCAGATATCTCTGGCTATGTGAGGTTCGAACATCAAAGATTTTTCAAAAGTGACCTCAGAAGTCCAATTAGATGCAATGCTACAAATCATGTGAACATTTAAAAGCATGACATTTTAAAACAGAAATTAGATATTAACAGAAACAAGCATCATACAATTTCTTTTTAATTTTTTTTTTCCGTTTTATTTTATCAGGGCACAAGGAAATGTACAGATAATGTAAGTGCATTGCAACATTAAAAATAACCTTTCCACAGGGCAGGTGTTGGCCCCCTAAGGTGAAGGATTGCTAATAGATGTTTATCCAACATAGCCATCAGAATGGCACCTCAGTGCTGGATGCCTGAAGTCAGCTTGCAGGCTCCCTGATGTTGACTTCAAAGCATTTTTTTTACTAAAGGGTGGGGGAATGACCCTATTACTTTATGAAATTACTGCAATGTTATACCCCCCAAGGATTGGTAAGCCTTTAGGAAGTCACATTGAGCATAGCACTAAATTCATCAAACACATAAATGAGGATAGTTGTTTTGTTTGTTCTTAAAAAAATGCAAACAAACAACAAAAGTCTTGGTTCTGTGGTTTGTGTACCAAATGTGCTTTTCTTTGTAAGTCTAATATATTTTTGGACTTGGTTTTATGACTGTAAAATGATAAGATAAGCCTAACTGTAAGCATAAAAATAGCTCCAGATAGAGAAATTTTTTTCTGCCAAAAGCAATGCTATACAATGCTATTCAATTGTGAACACCCCACTGTTGAAAATCTAAGCATCAAGAAAGTCTGCCTGCTTTAAAGAAACACTATCTTAACCATCAATTCACTGAGGAATTCTTCAGAGGAATCAAGTTCAGGGTTCTTCCTTGATGTTTGCACTTCCCTGACCAGAGCATAATTAAGTTTGTATACAAGAACATCAAGAGAATGATGTCTCCTACACAGAAGATCTAACACAATGCATGACACAAGGTTCATACAAAGGCAAAAGTCACAGTGTACTAGAAATAACTACCAAGAAATACTTTAAGAGGTTCAGGAATCCATCGAGATAAAAAAAAAAAATATATATATATATTTATATATATATATATATAATAAGGTTTTTGTACCCAGAACCTCCTGAATTCATAGTAAAGTTCAGAAATAGCATTCTCAAGTTCCGCTTATAAATTTGCAGTCAAGTCACCAGCAAGAGCTTTGTAGCACAAGTGTATGAATTCTCTGTCAAATGACTATGCCACTTTAAATTAGAGTGTGTTCTTCCTCTTTGTCCTTGGTCTTTTGTAAATCGCAGATTGCCTTCAGCTGTCTAAATTACTTGAGGTGAAAGCACAAAGGCAGATATCTTTGAAAATGTCTTTTTGCTTTTTCTAATGCTCTGTTATTTGAAGTTACTCGGATTTTAGAAAAGAAAAGCACATTGGGCAACAACATTTTGAACAAAATTCAAATGAGTTTTTCAAGACTCATTAAGAACAATGTAAATATCATAATTAGTTTATCTTGCAGCTTTTTATTTTTTAAGTAATAGAATTAATTAACATTTTTTAATCCATAGTATGATATTGATTGAAAATAATTAACGGTAACCTACAATTGAAAGCCATCCAGCAACAAACTTTCTATTTTTCCTAGAAGTTCTCATTCTGAAGTTCTCATTCTATAGGCCTTTTATTTGTCTGATTCATGGTTATTCAAGAGGCTCCCAATGAACGAATTTCTATGTTTTTAGGGTCATTTTCATCATAAATAAAAACATTTGAGCCAATGGTGATGCTAAGTGTCAAAATGTTTTCAGGAAAACTAAGCGAAAGTCTGGTTGTTTCTGATCTAAGCCTGTTTTGTGGTTACCATGACATGGATGACCGATGACTAGGCATGTCTGCAAAATTCAGGTGCAGTCCATTGCAGTGTAGTCATTTGTGTGCGGAGAGAACCATGGGGGAAGAACACACCCCATGTGCAGGAGTCTCTGCTGATGATCCGCTGAAGCAGGCATTATGAGCTTGGTGCTCTTCAGGACTGACAATGTTGAAGGCTGAGCTGAAGTCCACAAACATGATCGTGGTGTATATTGTGGTTTTTCAAAGGGGTACAGGATAAAATATGGTCCCAGGTTGACTGCATCACCTGCAGACTTGTTTGCTTGGTGAGCAAACTGCATGGAACCTATAGGTGATTCCGTCAGGGGAAATGACCTGTACTGATTTTACCCTGTGCCCAGTGTGTTTCTAGGAGACCAGGATGATGATGCAGCATTTTGAAGCATAAGGGAATCTCACACAGACTTGATTAAGATATTAGTGAAGATGGTGGCAAGTGAACTGGCACAAGCTTATGAATAAAAATCTTCATGACATCCCCTGCAGTACCTTTGTGAATCCCACGTTGAAAAACTCAGCTCCAATAGATTTTTTAAAAATAAATGTTAACATTTTATATACATATATACATCTTTAATAGTAAATGCATATCTCATATACAAAGAGCCTATAAATCAATGTAATAGAAATATGAATTTGGACAAAAAAAAAAGTTATTTATAAATTACTCAGTGGGAGGCATGCATTTTTTTAAACCATTCCAAATGCTGGCATGAGAGTATTTGAATGAGTAATGTTTGGTGAGGAGCATTCCATGAGACTGGAGGTTCTGTTTGCCATGAACCTAATCTACGGCTTCCATCCAAATATATTTTTCACATTCAGATTTCAGATTCAGATAGAAGGCAGGAGAAAGATATTTGTAATATATAAAGGTTACTCTTAAGTCTTTTAGAGGTGTGAAAAAATTTGGACCTTAATAGTGCTGAAGGAATCTAATAAAAACTTTTAATTTTTTGAGGAAACATCTCAGCTTGTTATTCATCTCAGGAAAATCTTTATTAAAGTAGTAGACGTCTGATAAATATTTAACAAAAATCACAAATTTGCTTTTATCAGCTTAATGTTGCATAATTTTGTTAGGTAGCTGACCTTTCAAATGACCAAAATAAAAAAAAGGTATGTGAGATTATTTAATATGTTTTTAGGGGCATTCTGTCACAATTCTTCTCCACTCAAAGGTTCTTTAAAACATTAGCATTTTAAAGAGTCTGGGACTTAATTATCAAGGGATTAAAGGTTGATGTAGCCAGATCAAATGGTCTGTCAAGGGCATTTTGAAGTGACCTAGAAGACAACAGGTATAATATATGATCAGGTCACATCGAAATGTGTTTTCTAAGGATGTTAAAACAATAAATGAGCCTCAAACAAAACAGCCATTTCTACAGACTGAGGTGGGAACTGCATATATCTAGACATGGGATTTGGACTGACATGCTGATTAGCTTGGGCCCTTGTGTTGTGGCAAAGTCAGGCTCAACCCTAAAGCTTAGTGACGCTCTCTGAAGTTTACCTCGGCTCTTCTCGGGTTTCACTAGTGCTGGTCCATATAGATGTTTTTTCTCTCTCCCTGATCAGAGCATTGCTGTGTCCCAGGAGAGGACAACCGGAGAGGCCATGTCACAGGAAGACATTTGCAAAGCGGAGATTGTCTTTATCAAGGACGTTTATGAGGAAGGAGTACGGAAACTTGTCCAACTGGAGCAAGAACCTCAGGTACATCAAAATGAGTAAAAGAAAAGGAATTATTTTATTATTCATTCAAAATTAGTTATCTACAGAAGAAATATTGCTACAATGTGTTCAATTGGAACCTTAAGGATTTAATCTTTAGTAAACAGATTATTTATAAGAAAGTAAGGCAAGTATAAATTAATTGTAACTGACATTTTATTCTGCATGTCCAAGAGGTTTTAGCTTATCTTATATTAGATTCATTCTTAGACAAAATTGGAAAATAAAATCTATCTAATCTATTTTTTTTTAGTATAGTCCACCAGATCATGAAAGCTTCTGTGGATCCAAGTCGTCTCCTTCAGTCAGTGCCCGTTCTGAAAATACACCCAAGCATGAGGCCACGGCGACAGTCTCTATGGAAACAGTTGTTGATAAATGCAGGGGCAGTTCCTGGCAGCAGTGCTACGATATCTCTGGGCATTCTGAACATAGCTTGGGGTACATGGCAAACACAGTGTCTGTGTCAGAAGACAGAACTAGTCCCATAAATTCTCCGGACCTCTTCCCCACCCCTTCTTCCTCCAGAGAGTCCATTCTTTCAGAGGGCTTGGATAAAGAGCGGAGTTGGTACTCCATGCAGCCGTCCTCTGTGGCTTCTCCTACTTCTTTTAGCAGAACTGTTTCTCAGTGTTCATCTATCCGCTCTGGAGTCTTCTCTCCTTCTGTGGTTCAGATCAGGAGGCACGTTCTTGCTCCTGGCTCAAGTCTAATTCATACTCCTCAGTCCTGTTTCTCATCCTGTGACAGTCTGTCCTCTTCCACTTGTCAGCAAAGTCCCCCTTCCCGGCGTCGCCCCCCTCTCACCCGGCTCTCCCTCCTCACTGCGATACTTAGAAAAGGTCGTCTTCCTGTGCTGTCTTCTGGGCTGCAGAGGCCTTACACCCCCTGCTGGCCTGTTAACCCTGTGACTCTGTCTGTCTGCAATGCATGCTCAGCTGCCTCCAGTGTGGCCTCTGTTCCCCTGGAGATTTCCTCCCGGTTCTCTATGCCCACCTCTGTAGACAGTCGAAACCGTGTTAACTGGGAGCCCAGCATGTTTCACCCTTCACCTCTAGCTGCAGAGTCAAGCAAACCCCTCATGGAAGGTCCTCAAATTCAGGTGACAAGCAGTCAACTTAGGAGAGAGCAGGTAATTTCACCTCCACTAAATAAAAGCAACACGATCCCTGAAACCTTCCCACCTCTGCTCCCAAGTTTAAAATCCATTTCCATGGTGCGGCATGAAAAACCTGCCACAAGGGCTTGTACCAACAGCTTTATTTCCAAGCTGCAAAAGCTAAGCCCTACCATGCTCCTCACAGACCATACAAATAACTCCAAAAAGGTAATTCCCCCAACCTCTACATCTATTAAAGAGCGTGAGAACTCTGTGCCTCTGAAATGGACTTGCCCACCAAATTCATCTCTCTCAAGGCTCCAAAGGCTGTCTCAGCAGCTAAGATCTCAGCCTGGCTTCCCGTCTCCTCTGCGTCCCGCTCCTGAACAAAATACACCTTTGGAAACAGGTTCCTCTCTCTTGGATTTGCAACAAACAACAAAGTCTGGGGGTGACAAGTCAGAGGGGAGCCGCCCTGTTTCCACACTTCAGACTTTTCAGAAAGGTCACAACCTATCTCCTTCTTGCTACAAAACAGTAGCTTTTCCTGGTTGGTCATCCCCCACCAATTCAGCCACTCCTACACCCTCTCCTGCCCCACCAAGCAGAGACTTCACCTCTTCACCTTCCTGGTCCCAATGCTCCACGCCATCCCCAAGGCCAGGAAGTGGGATTTCAGACTGCTCAGGCAGGGAGGATAAAAAAAGAAAGGTAGTGTCCTTGTCTGTCACAAGCATGAGTCTGAAGCACTGGTGATGTTATTTCTTTTCCTGGCTCACACTGTTCTCTCACGCACAGTAGTTAAAATGACATGTCATCTGGTGTTAGGATATCAAGTGTTGTGCTCTGTATTTAGATTTCTGTTTGTGTTTGTCACATGACCCATTGCTGCTGGTATAGATTATCAATTGGTAGAGATTTTCACATTAGTGCTGAAGACAACACATCTGGTAGTCATGTTATTTCTAATATGAATCTGCCTTGGAATAGAAAAAAAACACGATAGGATTTAGACTTCAAAAGCTGGTGGATGAAGTTGATTTTTTTTTGTTTTATACTTATTTTAACAGGGAAACTTAATAACTTTTTGTATGAATGAGTCAGTGGTTTTGTGACTCATTATTAAGAAAACATAAACTGAAGGACATTTACAGTAATGAGCCATCTGGGCAGCAAAGCACCCTTGTTGTCTGGAACAATGAATAAGCCCAACACACAAGATCTTGCAAATAGAATATTGTCTTATATTTTTTCTTTTAAAAGTCTTTCACATTGCGAACAAATAATAACATATATTGAATTATCTCTGACAAGCAAGCAAAGGTAGATAATTGTGATAGAAAAAGGAAAACTGAATATGATAGAAAAAGGAAGGGCTGAATGCAAGTTAAGCTAAATCAATGATTTGTGGAGCAACTTTTTGCTGTAAATATTATTTCAAGGCTTTGGGGTTTGTTTCTACGGAGGCCTAGAGCAGTCATGACCCTCTGATACTTTCGTATGAACATCCTCCCCATAATTGCAAATGCTATGTTTGTTATGTCAATGACAATTGATGAGTTGACACAAGATTCTCATAGGATTACGAACCACTGCCAGCTTCACAAAGCAACGTTTTTCATATTAATTACATAGAGTTGGGCCTTATTTATTTATTGGTTGACTTCTGAAGCAAGTTGGCTGAACAGGGTTTTATTTAGGTATTAAAGTGGAATAAAATGATACATTTAATAAATCAAAATCAAAACAAATGTAGCATCCATACACACACAACAGCTGCTACTTTGTGTTTGGCTGATATATGGGATAACATTAAACAGAACATTAAGAAAAAGGTGGTAGGAGAGATGCAAAGGGGCTGTTTTGTTCAGAAGTGAGTTAAAACACCTGCTCCAAGAAGTTTAAAATGCATAATGATTCTTATCTCCATACATTTTACAAGAATATTCTTGCATAAACTGCCAGAAATCTGCAGCAGCAATTATAATGATTAATTTGTATTCATTGTCTGCTTTATTCTTTCCCTTCCCCTAAGCAGCAGGCACACAAGATTAAGTCAAGCTACAAATCACTGGCTGCAATCCCAACAAACACAATTCTCTTGGACCAGCAAGTGAGTTCACATATTTAACTCTAATCCCTCTAATTCATCCAGTTATCCTGTTAAACATCCAGAAGACGGTTTTAATCCCCAATAAATTTGCCAGGTGTCGGTGGGAATAATTTACATGATAATATTGGTAGAAGTGCAAAAGAAAGTTTAAATCAAACCTGTAAAGTTTATAATTTATGATTAAATATTTCCTGAACACGTTCAGTAGTATTTTTTAAACAAATATTTGAATATCCGGTCCTTTCCACGTAACACTTTCTTTGGACACTTCACAAGAGGTGTAGTAAAAATTGCACTCTGGCTTTTTTCTGCAGTTTCCCATGAGAACATTTTTCTTAATTTTTATACATACCCAAGCCTTTTTCTGTAAGATATATATTTATCAGTTTGTTATTCAGCAGTGCTGTCTGAAGCATTTGCACATTACAACAGTCTCACCTCTCAAAAATGCAAAGTATTTTTCCTTATAATTCTCAAATATTATCTAAGAAAAGCAACATAGGTCAACATCCTTGTTCATGATTATTAATGAAGGTTTTGTAAAATTGAGTTTTTTCTTTATTATTGCCATTTTTGTTTTACTTAAACCCAAATAAACACCTAACTTTTGCAGAAGAATTTTGTTGAATCTTAAAAGAATAAGCAGAACCTTACTAGCTCTTTCGAACCATTTTTCAAACTCTCTGGTCTTAATTCTTTATTTCTTTTTTTTGTCTTAAAACATTTATAAAACATTTCTTCTAGTTTT